TTTATCATAGTGATCTTTGACCTTCTTGGTTAAATTTATTCCAGAGTATTTAATATTTTATGTATATGTATTTTGAATGGGATTGTTCTTGGAAATCCTTTCTCAGTCATGGTATTATCTCTGTATATAAAGATAATAAATACAGAGGCTATAGAATTTTTTGTGTTAATTTTATATCCTGCCACTGTACCAAATTTTTTATGAGTTACAATAGTCTCTTAGTGGAATTATTTGGCTCCCCTATATATATACAATTTCAATGGCAGATAGGGATAGTTTTGCTTCTGCCTCTCATATTTGAATCCCTTTGATTTCTTTTTCTTTTGTTAGTTGCAGGGATCACATGTTGTGTCTGAGCTCATTGCTGCATGTCTGTACCTTCCTTGCTAATCTACAGCATACCTCTTCCTTCTGTAGAATTTCCACTGCAGGTTTCTTTCCTACTGTCCTCTGTAAATGTACTGTGTCCACTTTTTCTTCCCCCCCAACCTAAAGCAGTACATGTTTTCTGTGTTTAGCCATCTTGGAATCCCTATCTTGCTTTTGTGGGTGGGAATTTGGCCAGCTGTGTGTGTGTGTGTATGTGTTTGTGTGTGTGTGTGTATGTTTGTTGTTTTATTTTTTTTATTTTTATTTTTTGAGTTTTGTGGATGATGGCGATGTTTTATAACAGTATAGTGGTTATTTTCTAAAAATTTTCTATGTTGATTTACTGAAACTTTCCTGGTCTTTTGGCTAGAAAGAGCAGTCTTTTGTTGGGGTCTCCCCCCCCCCCTTTTTTTTTCCCCTAGGGCTGTTGGTATTTCTAGATTTTATCTTCTTCAGCTTCCAATAGTACATATGACAGGTCTTCAAAAACTTCATGAAGAATGTACACTATGTAAAAACTAAGCTTGAGTTCAGATTTTTTTTTGCACCAAAGTAAACTTATCCTTTAATTCCATTTTCTGTGAACTTTTAAGTACTGTCTTAATAGGTAGCCAAAAAAAAAAAAAGTCTCAGTAGTTTACCACTGTGTTGTCTCTTGTTTCTCAAAATCTAGTTGATTTGCATTATTCTCTCCACCTTTCAGTCTTCATATTTTTGTTTTTATATGATATAAAGTGTTAAAGATTGCTTAGCAGGAGGAACAGTGAAAAGTGTGTCCCTTATATCTTCTCAGAAGTGTTGGCCGGCACCGCAGCTCAATAGGCTAATCCTCCGCCTTGTGGTGCCGGCACACTGGGTTCTAGTCCTGGTCGGGGCGCCGGATTCTGTCCCGGTTGCCCCTCTTCCAGGCCAGCTCTCTGCTGTGGCCAGGGAGTGCAGTGGAGGATGGCCCAAGTGCTTGGGCCCTGTACCCGCATGGGAGACCAGGAAAAGCACCTGGCTCCTGCCTTCGGATCAGCGTGATGCGCCGGCTGTGGTGGCCATTGGAGGGTGAACCAACGGCAAAGGAAGACCTTTCTCTCTCTCTCTCTCTCACTGTCCACTCTTCCTGTCAAAAAAAAAAAAAGTGTATGTGATCTTGTGAGATTTAAAATTTTTGTTACAAATTCTTCCTTTACAGATAATGGGTAATCATCATTTAGTTGTGGTTACATGGAATTATGTGCTTTATCCTATTTAGTCCAAAATACTCTTATATTAGGATTCTCTGTTGCTGTAGGTCATTTTTTATTATGAGCCAACTTGTAAGACACATTACTATAGTCCAGTTTTCAATGGCCTTGTGTGGTATAGATTGAGTTCATTATTGATTACAGTGTGGGCCAAAGAGTATACATCCATGTTTTTATTTGAAGGGAATTTCATAATCAGTAAAAAGAGTATGATTAGAACATTAAATTTTTCTTTATGGTTGGGTAGATTTTTTTTTGGGTTACTATTTTTTGGGTGGATTAATTTTTATTTATTTATTTTTGAAAGACAGAGTTACAGAGAGATAGAGGTAGAGACAGAAAGAGGTCTTCCATCCGCTGGTTCATTCCCCAGATGATTGCAACAGCCAGAACTGCGCAGATCCGAAGCCAGGAGCCAGGTTTTCTTCTGGGTCTCCCACCTGGATGCAGGGGCCCAGGGATTTGGGTCATCTTCCACAAATTTCCCAGGCCATAGCAGAGAGCTAGATCGGAAGAGGAATAGCCGGGACTAGAACTGGCGCTCATATGGGATGCCAGCGCTTCAGGCCAGGGCTTTAAAAACCTGCTGCACCACAGTGCCGGCCCCAGAACATTAAATTTTTTAAAAATGCTATTCTTTTTTTTTTAACTTTTATTTAATAACTATAAATTTTGAAAGTACAGCTTTTGGATTATAGCGGGTTTTCCCCCCATAACCTGCCTCCCACCCACAACCATCCCATCTCCTACTCCCTCTCCCATCCATTCTTCATTAAGATTCATTTTAAATTATCTTTATTTACAGAAGACCAACTTAGTATATACTAAGTAAAGATTTCAACAGTTTGCACCCACACAGATACACAAACTATAAAATACTGTTGGAATACTAGTTTTACCATAATTCATATAGTTCAACACATTAAGGACAGAGATCCTACATGGGGAGTAAGTGCACGGTGACTCCCATTGTTGATTTAACAATTGACACTCCTATTTATGACCGAGGCTCTTGTTATGAGCTGTCAAGGCTAAAGAAGCCTCTTGAGTTCACAACTCCGACCTTATTTAGGCAAGGACATAATCAAAGTGGAAGTTCTCTCCTCCCTTCAGAGAAAGGTACCTCCTTCTTTGATGGCTTGTTCTTTCCTCTGGGGTCTCACTCAGAGAGATCTTTCATTTAGGTCATTTTTTTGCCACAGTGTTTCCATGCCTGAGAAACTCTCATGAGCTTTTTTAGCTGGATCCAAATGCCTTAGGGCTGAAGGAAGCAATTCTTATCTCTTAGAAATTGAAGTCAGAATTATGGTAAATACTAAACTGGAGACAGTTTGTAAAGAATAAAAGAGTACGTATTTAAAGAAGCTGTCAAATTGATTTTTTCTTCTGTTTATAAATGTTAGCCAGAGTCTGAGAATTGTTTGTATCGTTCAAAACTATAATTCAAATTGTTGATTAGATGATAATGTTGGTTTTGGAGACATATGGAAAACTGTGTATGTAATACTGTATTTTGAGATTAATTTGATGGATCATCTTTAATATTTAACTTGAAAAATTAAATTACAAAATTTATTTTTGCTGTACTAAAAATCAGTTTTCTTCTGAGCAGACTCTGATTGTATATTGGCATGAAATCCCTATATTATGTACTTAGTATAACTTTGTATTCTTAATGTGCAATGGGATTGCTAAATTAGAAAGCCTGTGTTTCAGTTACTATTTTAGTATATGTGAGTTGTTAATCAAAATTTACTTTTTCTAATGGATATCTTTACTGTTTTATAGGGGATCTTCCCTGCAAATTATATTCACTTGAAAAAAGCAATCGTCAGTAACAGAGGGTGAGTAATTGGCCGTACTCAATTTTTAAAAACTATTTATTTATTTGAAAGGTGGAGTTACAATGAGAGAGAGTGAAGGAAAGAGAGAGAGAGAGAGAGAGAGAGAGAGAGAGAGAGAGATATCTTCTGTCTGCTGCTTCACTCCTCAAATGTCCACTTCAGCCTGGGCTGGGCCAGGCTGAAGCCATGATTCAGGAGCTTCATCCAGTTCTCCTATGTGGTTGCAGGGGCTTGAGCATTGGGCTATCTTCTGCTTTCCTTTGATGAATTAGTAGGGAGTTGGATTGGAAATGGAGCAGCTGGGAGATAAACTGGCACCCATATGGGATGCTGGCACTGCAGGTAGCGATTTAACCCACTGTACCACAACGCTGGCCCAACCTTACAAAATTTATTTGCAGTTGTTATCAGGGACAGGAGAAGGTTGTTTGTCTTTTTGGTTCATAGTATAAAAGACCCTACTGGCATATTTTTCTTGCAAAGATATACATGCTTTATTATATGTAATTCTGAGGACATAGCATTTTTCTCTAAGTACTAGCAACTTTAATCTGTTTTCCTATATACTGGAGAAATAATCATAGTTGTGAATTATATAAAAACAATCATAATGGTTCAGATGTTTGTTACTTCAAATGTCCATATCCAGTATTGGAGTGCTTGGGTTCAAGTCTTTGCTCTGCTTCCAATTCATTCTTCTTGCTAATGTGTACCCTAAAAGGCAGCAGGTGATGGTTCATGTGTTTGTGTCCTTGCCACTCACTTGGGAGACCGGGATTGAATTTTGGGCTTCTGGCTTCCACCTTACCCAGTACTGGCTGTTGTGGATCTTTGGGTTGTGAACCAATGGATGCAGGACTGCTTTCAAATAAATAAAATGAATGTAAAACTTTATGTGTGAGTTTTTTTTTTTTTTAAAGTCATGCACTATTTTCAGAGCTATCACTGATAGGATAAAATTGGAGATAATTTTGTCATTTTGTTCATTTATGTTAAAGTAAAAGAAACTTAAAAATCTTTTATTTGTAAGTAGAAATTGAAAATATATTGAAGGGATACTTTTAAAACATACAATATCAATATATAAAAATAGTTTGACAACAGTTTGCAAAACCAAAGCAATATACATTTAAGAGACAAGTAAATATATCAAAATGCTGAACAGAAAAATTGTATAAGTTTGAAATTGATATCCTGTGATTTGATTACTGTTTATAGCCCTTGTCTATATTCCTGGGGAACAGTGCTCTTTCTGCTTTGAACTTGTTGAACACTTTACTTAGTTGAGTATTAAACCTGTAATTATAAAATAAATTGAAATTGTCTTACTTCAAAAATCAATAGAAAAAAGAAAGATGCAGGATTGAGGGGTGGAAGGAAGTATTGTTAGCTTCTTAGAATTGTATCTATGAAATACATAAAATCTGTTTTCCTTATATTAATATTTAAAAAATTAATAAAAATAATTTCTTTACTGTTATATCCTTTTACAAAAGTTAATTTTCTAAAATTATGATGAATTTCAAAATGATGAATTTCAAAATTCATCATTTAAAAATATAAAATTTGGGCCGGAGCGAGATGGCGACTCTCGGGAGGTTGAGTGTCCTTTGCGGTGCCCAAGGAAGTCGAGCTGTGTTCCTCCGAAGCCTGGTGGTGAGACCCACTCATGTCACAGTATTTCTCCAGGACTGGCCTTCCCCAGGATGGTGTGGAGTGCAGCATATTCACCTGTCACCAAGTCGCCACTCTGGTTCCAAGGCTGCATCCCTCCACTGGACTGGCGAGAGAGTTGTCAGTGTTTTGCTCCTAGGCTTGCTTCCAGCTGCTTATTTGAATCCATGCTCTGCAATGGACTACTCCTTGGCTGCAGTTCTGTCTCTTCATAGTCACTGGGGCCTTGGACAAGTTGTTACTGACTACGTGCATGGGGATGCACCACAGAAAGCTGCCAAGGCAGGCCTTCTGGCACTCTCGGCTTTAACCTTTGCTGGCCTTTGTTATTTCAACTATCGCGATGTGGGCATCTGCAAAGCTGTCGCCATGCTGTGGAAGCTCTGACCTTCCTGACTTAATGCCTTAAGAATTGATTTTATGCCTCTGCTTTGTCATGCATTCAACTCACCAAAAGGAGGAAGTAACAGATTAAGGCCATGGGTGTACAAACTTGTCCCAATCACATGGTTATTTTCAGAATTTACTCACTGAGAGAAAGATTTGAGAATTGCTAGCTAAGGAGTTGCGAGACTGAGTTTTGCATTCTGGTAAGTTGTCGCCCAGTTTCTCATGAGACTCGCAGTGTAACTAAGCATTGTCTGTGAGCCTTTGCCTTTTAATTTATCAGTCTCTTAAAGGGAACTGAGCTTTACTGCTATCAGTACAAGATCAGACTCTTCCATAGTTGTCCTAGGAATAAAGGACAAAGGGAAAGACTTAATTCATGAGTAAAGACTGTGGAAAATTAGTGCTGAATATTTGCAAATCTCCCACTCTGTTCAGATGATAGCAGCTCCTGGTGGTTACATGTCCTAGGGAAACCTCAAAATTAGGAAATGCTGATAACGCACATTACAGATTTTTAAATGCTACAAAGAAAAGCTTAGAAAACTTCATCTAAAGAAGTTCCATTTGGAAAGTGGTCCTCCTGGTAGATGTAATAAACACTTCAAATTCTAAACTAAAACTTAATGCTCAAATGTTTGATTTGTCCTAAAATAATCTGTGCATAAATATAAAACTGTAAGTAATTGTTATTTCCCACTCTGTCAATCTTGAGAAAATGCATTCATTGAGAAGAATTTTTTAAAAATAAAATGTATAATAAAAAATATATATATATAAAATTTGGGACCAGTGCTGTGGCACAATGGCTTAAGCTGTTTTGTGCAGTGCCGGCACCCCATATGGGCACTGGTTTGTGTCCTGGCTACCTCACTTCTGGTCCAGTTCCCTTATGATGTGCCTGAGAATGCATTGGAGGATCAGAGGATGGTCCAAGTCCCTGGGTCCCTGCCACCCTCATGGGAGATAGGAGGATCCTGGCTCCTGGCTTCAGCCTGGCCCAGTCCTGGCCATTGTGACTATTTGGGGAGTAAACCAGAACAGTGGATGGAAGACCTTTCTTTCTCTCTTTTTTATCTCTGCCTTTCAAATAAATGAATAAATCTAAAATAAAAAAATATAAAATTTAAGTGCTGTATAATTTTCAATTGAGATAGCTTTCTTTAGTAGAAATAATCTTTTGACAAAAGAGTAAATATATATCAGAGTAACTTCTGAAATTTGGAGAAGGCACACAACTTCGAGATTCCCAGGAGGAAAGAAGGAATGGAAATTAATAGAGGCCAGCGCCGTGGCTCACTAGGCTAATCCTCCACTTTGCGACGCCGGCACACCGGGTTCTAGTCCCAGTCGGGGCACCGGATTCTGTCCTGCTTGCCCCTCTTCCAGGTCAGCTCTCTGCTGTGGCCAGGGAGTACAGTGGAGGATGGCCCAAGTGCTTGGGCCCTGCACCCCATGGGAGACCAGGAGAAGCACCTGGCTCCTGCCATCGGATCAGCGTGGTGTGCCGGCTGCAGCGCGCCGGCCACGGTGGCCATTGGAGGGTGAACCAACGGCAAAGGAAGACCTTTCTCTCTGTCTCTCTCTCTCACTGTCCACTCTGCCTGTCAAAAAAAAAAAAAAAAAAAAGAAATTAATAAAAAAGATCTGAGAAGCTCCTTGATTCTCAGTTGGGCTGATTACTGAGCATCTTCCCCTATAGAAGCCACTCCATAAAGACCAGGAGAGTTGACTACTTCAGAAAGCTACAAAAAATATGAAGAAATGGTGAAATATGACACAACCGAAGGATATAAACATCTAGTAAATGAACCTGAAGAAATGGACTTCTGTGAATTGCCTGATGAAGAATTCAAAATAATTATCATAAAATTCTGTGAGTTGCAACAAACAGAGGTAGACAACTGAGCAAAATCACAGATATGATACATGAGCATCATGAAAATATCAATAGATAGAAACCATTTGAAACAAAAAGCAAAAAAAAAAAAAAAAAACTGAACCATTACTGAACCATTCAGACTTTCTGCAGCTGAAGAACATAGTAACTGAACTGAAAAGTTCAATGGAAAGCTACAATAGAATTCTTGATCAAATAGAAGGATGAATCAGTGAATTCGGGGTTTATTTGAAATTACCTATTCAGAGGAACAAAAAGGAAAAAACAATAAAAAAGGATGAAGTAAGCCCAAGGAAATTAAGGGACATAATCAAGCATACCAGTTGATGCACTATGGGATTAAGTGAAAGTTAAAGAGAAAAAGGACAAAAAATTTACTTAAATAAATGATGTATGGAGGCATCCACAATTTGGGAAGGGAAATGGATATCACTTCTTGAAGACTATAAAATGCTGTTAAGATAAACTGAAAGAAATCCAAACCAAGGCATATTATAATCAAATTGTCAAAAGCCAAAGACAGGAATTTTAAAAGCAAGTAGAAAAAGGAACTCACCATGTACAAGGGAATGTTGGTATAAGACCATCAACAGATTTCTACGAAGAGATGTTGCATGCAACAAGGAAGTAGGATGTTATAGTCAAAGTACTGAAGGGAAAAAAAAAAGAGGAAAAAAAAAAAAAACCCCAGCTGTTAATCAAGCATGTTAAACCCAGAAAAGATGTTCTTCAAAAATAAAAGAGAGAGAAAGACAAAAGCTGAGAGAATATCCACCACTAGATCTGCTTCATAAGAAATGCTAAAAGGAATTCTTTAAATTGAAACAAAAGGCACTAAACATCAGCATGGAAAGATAAGAAGGTATAGGACTTAGGGGTAAAGGAAAATATATCGAACACTAATATTGTAAAGGTTGTATACAAATCATTTTGAATTTTTTTGTAAAGGTTAAAAGACTATTAAAAATAACCACAAAACTGTGTTCATGGATGCGCCATACAAAATATGCAGACTGTGATAAAAAGTTTGGGATGGAATTACAATTGGAGAGTTTTTATATGTGATTGAAGTTGTTATCAACTTAGAATGCTATTATGAAATCTTTTATGGTGACCATAAAGAAAATATGTATAGATGATATAGAAGAGAAAAAGAAAGGAATCAAAACATATCATTACAAAATGAGTCACAATTGAAGACAGAGAGGAAAAGAACAAAGAACTGAACCAACAAAATACCTGACAAAATAATAAAATGGCAGTATTATGTCCTTATCTATTAATAATTACTTTAAAAATGCGATAGTTTTTTAGGACTGAGAAAACAAAAGTTTGAGTTTGGAACTTCCAGCTTGACTGGAAATTAAGAGACAAAATCCTAGAGAAGTGAGTGTCCTAGAGATAGACCCTTAATTTGTGTATGCATTTCTTCTGTGTGATGAATTCCTAGAATGGAAGAATCTTAACAAAAAAGCATGTCTGGCATATAGTAAAGACTTGAGTATACTTTGCCAGTCACCCAGGATTGTTGAGAAAGACTTGACGCCTGTGAATTATTTCCTTTTCATAGATTCTTTGACTTAGTTAGCAGCTTAGCTGTGTTATTTGAATTATTGATGATTCTGTGTATATAGGGATGCTATCCTGTCCTATCAGCTCTTACCACTAAGCATGGTAATATTAGGTTGCTCCCTCGTGATCCCTTGAGTTCCATCCATGATTCTTCTCACCTGTGTTATACAACAGCAATCCTATGTCTTAGGACTAGGGAACGTCATAACAACAAATGTCCAAACCTTTTCCCCTGTCCCTTTCCTAGTTAAAGGAGAAAACATGAACCTAAAAAGACCTCATAGTAATCTCAATATAATGCAATCATGTTTTCATTTGGTGTATGCATATTACTAGGAATGGAAATAAAAATGTTTGATCTGAGAAGGAGAGGTGTCCTTTTCATCTTTACCTCTTGTTTCTGGACCCATTCATCTTTTCTCTTGCTTCTGGCTGTGAAAGAAACATAGCTGTGTATTGATTATTGGTCACTGCCTTAGCCTTTTAAAAAAAGATAGTACAATGAAATCTTCTATATTGCTCTGTATTATTTTATGAAGTGTATTGTTCTGGATAGTGAAGTAGCTAGAAAGATCAGTGAGTCCTGCGAGTGTCAGTCCCATATCTACTTTTTTTTTTTTCATCTAAAGTGACTTCCTTGTTCATATTGAAATGGGGTCCCAAGCAGTAAACTTGTTGATAGGTGGCTGGCTAGTTAAATCGTAGTATGATACCACATTATAGTCTCAGGGTTGCCGATTGCAGTTGGCAAGTTTGGTTCTAGCATTTCATTGGGTACTTTTTGTTTTTTGATGTAGAGTTAGACAGTGAGAGAGAGACAGACAGACAGAAAGGTCTTCCTTCTGTTGGTTCACCCCCCCAAATGGCCGCTATGGCTGGCATGCTGCAGCCAGCGTGCTGCGCCCATCCGAGGCCAGGAGCCAGGTGATTCCTCCTGGTCTCCCATGCAGGTGCAGGGCCCAAGCATTTGGGCCATCCTCCACTTCCTTCCCAGGCCACAGCAGAGAGCTGGACTGGAAGAGGAGCAACCAGGACAGAATCCGGCGCCCCAACCGGGACTAGAACCTGGGATGCCAGCGCCACAGGCAGAGGATTAGCCAAGTGAGCCGTGGTGCCGGCCCATTGGCTACATTTTTGTGCTTATTTTTGTTTTATAACATATCTTTTTTATTTTTTTTTTAAGATTTACTTATTTTATTTGAGAGTTAGAGTTACAGCCAGTGAGAGGGAGAGACAGAGAGAAAGGTCTTCCTTCCATTGGTTCACTCCCTAAATGGCCACAGTGGCTGCAGCTTTACCGATTGGGAGCCAGGAGCCAGGCACTTCTTCCTGGTCTCCCATGTGGGTGCAGGGGCCCAAGGACTTGGGCCATCTTCTACTGCTTTCCCAGGCCATAGCAGAGAGCTGGACTGGAAGTGGAGCAGTCGGGACTAGAACCGGCATCCATATGGGATGCTGACACCGCAGGCAGAGGATTAACCTACTGTGCCACAGCACCGGCCCCTCATTTCCTTTTTAAAATACATGTTATTTGGCCGGCGCCACAGCTCAATAGGCTAATCCTCCACCTAGCGGCTCCGGCACACTAGGTTCTAGTCCTGGTTGGGGTGCCGGATTCTTTCCCGGTTGCCCCTCTTCCAGGCCAGCTCTCTGCTGTGGCCAGGGAGTGCAGTGGAGGATGGCCCAAGTGCTTGGGCCCTGCACCCCATGGGAGACCAGGAGAAGTACCTGGCTCCTGCCTTTGGATCAGCGCGGTGCGCTGGCCGCAGTGCGCCAGCCGTGGCGGCCATTGGAGGGTGAACCAACGGCAAAGGAAGACCTTTCTCTCTGTCTCTCTCTCTCACTATCCACTCTGCCTGTCCAAAAAAAAAAAAAAAGTTATTTCTTCATTTTTGTATCCATCCTAAACATTTAAAAATATTTATTCTTCTCAGAGTTAATTTTATCTGAAAAGCAGTTATTTTTATAATTTTAAAGACTTTGAGCATTAATCTAAATGTGTTTTAGAATTTGGTTTTTGCAGCACTTCAGCCTCAGAATCAACCCTTGGGGCATTCAGATCTGGCTAAAAGGCCCATGAAAGTCTCACAGGCATGGAAAGCCATGACATGGTGGCAAAAAAAAATCTAAATGAAAGATCCTGGTGAACAAGATCCCAGCGGAAGGAACAGGCCATCAAGGAGGGAGGCTCCTTTCTCCAAAGGGAGGAAGGAACCTCCACTGTGATATGGCCTTGACTAAACAAGTTCAGAGTTGGTGAACTCAAGGGGCTTCCATAGCCTAGACAGCTCATGGCAAAAGCCTCAGGTGATTACTGATGCCATAAATAAGAGTGCCAATTGTTAAATCAACAACAGGAGTCACTGGGTACAGGCTTCCCACATAGAATCTCTGTCCTTAATATGTTTTACTATGAAACTTAAAAACAACACTACTAGTTGAACAATACCCTATACCTCGTGTGGTTGAGTGAGGGAAGCCTGTTGAAATCCTTGCTTAGTATATACTAAGTTGATCTTCTGTATATGAAGGTAATTGAAAATGAAACTCGATGAAGGGTGGGATGGGACAGGTAGTGGGAGAGGGGAGGGCTGCAGGAGGGAGGGAGGTTGGTTGGGGGGGAAGCCACAACAATACAAAAGTTGCACTTTGTAAATTCACATTTATTCAATAATAATAAAAAAAGAACCTGAATAAAAAAAAAAGAATTTGGTTTTTGGGGCCTGTGCTTTAGTGCAGTGGGTTAACTCCCTGGCCTGAAGCGCCAAAATCCCATATGGGTGCTGATTTGAGACCCAGCTTACTCCACTTCTAATCCAGCTCTCTGCTAAGTATTGGGAAAGCAGTAGAAGATGACCCACGTCCTTGGGCCCCTGCACCCAAGTGGCCGACTTGGAAGAAGTCCCTGGCTCCTGGCTTTGGATTGGCACAGCTCCAGCCGTTGTGGCCATTTGGGGAGCGAACCAGCAAATCAAAGATCTCTCTCTCTCTCTCTCTCTCTCTCTCTCTTTGCCTCTCCTTCTCTGTGTAACTCTGACTTCCAAATAAATAATTCTTCAAAAAAAAAAAAAAAGAATTTTGGTTTTCAAAAGTCGGAGATTTATTTTTTCCCACCTCTTTGCCCCCTGAACATATCTATTGCCTGTGCAGTTAACACACCACACCAGCTCCCAGAGTAGAACCAGATCCCACAAAAACATTTTAGAGCTCTTTTCTCCACAGTGACACAGAGGCCATGAAAAATTCTGATCCTTGGTTGAGGTCTGATTTTTAATGATGAGCTTGGTTAAAACCATACTCTTCAGTGAGGTTCAATAGTGGTTGTTCCTGTACCTCATGTTGTTCTTTTGCAGGAGCTTCAAGCAATGAACTCTCTTTCATTTGGAACACTTTTTGTTCGTGTTCTTCCTCTAAATCCCATCTTCTGCTCACCAGAGCTGGCTTTTGACTTTAGAACCTGGAATTTCTATGATTTCATTCTAGTTTACTACTTTGTGTTTTTTGTTTGTGGCTGGTCCATTGATATGTTTATTTTACTTTGGATTTCAGAAAGGTATTTGGCTTTCTATTCCTATATTTTATCTATTACTGCTGTGTATTGGCAGCTGAGAAAATCTATCAAAACATGAACTTAGCTATTTTGATAAGTATTTGTAAAATCCTTATTGAAAGCTCAGAATTAAAATCTTGCTGATTTAGGGGTAGGCATGTGGCACAGTGTTTAAGATATCATGAAGGAAGCCTGCATCCCAGATCACAGTTGTTTGAGTCCTGGCTCCATTTCCAATTCAGCTTCCTCTAACTCCCTGGTAATAATGCACATCCTGGAAAGCATCAGATGATGACACATGTCCCTGCCACCCATGTAGGAGACTCATTGAGGTCCAGCTCCTGACTTTGACCTAGTCTGGCTGTTGTGGGCATTTGCTGAGTGAACTTAGCGAAAAAAAAAAAAAAAAAAGAAAGAAAGAAAGAAAAAAGAAAAGAAATATCAAAGAAAAATTCTAAAAAATCTAGCTGATTTTGACATTGTTTTATTCTAGATATTCTTTGTTTTTTTGTAAGTAACAAAAATTAAAGTATTAAGTCAGTAGTAGGGGCTGACACTGTGTAACAGTGGGTTAGGCCTCCACCTGTGGCACTGGCATCCCACGT